GACAGATCGTCGTCGGGAGCGTGAGGAGAGGGAGGCTAAGAGGCCTCGAGGTTCAGGTAGTTTCAGTGGTGCTCCGTCTAGGGGCCAGTTCCAGCGCAACAGAGGTCGTTTGTTCAGACCTCCTCAGTCAGGTCGTTCAGAGTCCAGTGGGGCTTCGTCAGGCCGTGGTCATCAGAGTCATCAGCAGAGCCAGCCTGCACTGAGTGCCTTCCCAGCTCAGAGCTCTGCTCCTGCTTCTTCAGCCCAGGGTTCATTTGCAGCGAGGGGTTCCCATCAGTCCCCTTCTCCAGCTCCAGGTCGTTGCTACGAGTGCGGTGAGTTGGGTCATATGAGGAGACAGTGTCCCCGGTTCCGTAGTAGACAGTCTCAGCGGAGGGATCAGCTCTCATCTTCTGCTCCTGTTTCTTCAGCACCCACTCAGTCAGCTAGGAGTGGAAGTCAGGTAGCCAGAGGTCACCCCAGGGGTGAGGACCGTACTGGCGGTGGTCAGGCTCGATTCTATGCTCTTCCGGATAGGAGAGACGCCAGTGCATCAGATGCAGTCATCGCAGGTATTATCTCAGTCTGCCACAGGGATGCCTCTGTCTCATTTGATCCCGGATCTACCTACTCCTATGTATCTTCATATTTTGCTCATCATTTGGGTACGACTCGTGGTTGTCTTGCCTTGCCTGTGCATGTATCTACCCCGGTGGGTGATACTGTTATTGTGGATCACGTATATCGATCATGTCTTGTTACTATTGGGGGTCTGGAGACCCGAGTTGACTTGTTATTATTGGGCATGGTGGATTTCGACGTGATTCTGGGTATGGATTGGTTATCTCCGTACCATGCTATTCTGGACTGTCATGCCAAGACAGTTACGTTGGCTATTCCGGGTATTCCGAGGATCGAGTGGCGAGGCGTGACTGACTATGTACCCGGCAGGGTGATTTCCTTCCTAAAAGCCCAACGGATGGTTCGGAAGGGTTGTTTGTCGTACTTGGCTTTCGTTAGAGATGTTGGAGCTGAGACTCCTAGTCTTGATTCGGTTCCCGTTGTGAGGGATTTCCCTGATGTGTTTCCAGCGGACCTGCCGGGCATGCCGCCGGACAGGGACATTGATTTCGGTATTGATCTGGTGCCGGGCACTCAGCCCATCTCTATCCCTCCCTATCGTATGGCACCAGCGGAGTTAAAAGAGTTGAAGGAACAGCTTCAGGAACTCCTAGATAAGGGGTTCATTCGCCCGAGTGTGTCACCTTGGGGTGCACCAGTGTTATTGTAAAGAGTAAGGATGTCAC